ATTTAGATTTCGTTGTTTTTGTAATTGTAGTTTTTTTTGTAATTGTAGTTTTTATTTTTATTTCAGTTAACTAAATTATTTTTTCATTGCTAGTTTTAGTCTTAGTTTTCGTTAACTATAATAACCCTGCAACAGTCTGCTGCCTCCTAAATCAAACCAGAGTGTTAAGGTTGTAATTGAGAGGACCCAAATGCAGGCACGAACACTTGGCTGGGAATTAATTTATTTTGAAAAAGAAAAACAAAACATTCTTCTCGTGGTGAGCAAAGAAGCACCAGTAAATCCATCGATGAAAAAGGGAACGGAGCCATGAGGACAGAGGAAACAGATGAACTGACAAAGGAGGCACAAAGACAGTTGCTGTGTCTGAAATCCCCCACTCATTCACTATCCCCTACTTTACTATATAGGGACACTACTTTGTGTTAATGATGTTATTGTCACAAGATTTTGATGTACAACAACATTGTTTGGTGAAAAATCCCACAATAAATTTTCAATGTTTATTTTAAACTTAGTAATACTTTTAGGTAAAAACATGTTGAAGGAAAATCTTGTAATAAACTAGTTTGCCACAGTTTGTGCTGCGATGTTGTGCTCTTATTTACAATTGTACAACAGGTCGGGCTGTTCCTGCTGCCCTCTCTCGTCTTTCCGCCGCGAGCGCAATACACGATGGTAAATATCGCTTGGTTAGTAACCATCAGTTGTAAACTATTTTTCTATATAAAGAATAAAAAATGTCACTTAACATTCGGACACCACTACAAAATTGCGAGCTCATTATATAGTGATTTGTGAATGATTTTAGACACATGTACATAAAGGAGGAAGAAGAGCTACAGACAATCACAAGGGCGAGAAACAGGAAAAGAGGACATTCAGCTGGAGACACACAAAGAACAAAATTTCAAAATAAAACAAGTAACGGAGAACTTAAAGAGTGTGAACAACCAAATTCAAATGCAAGGAAAATACTCTTGATAAGGAAAATGTAGATATTATAAGATGTCCAATCAGTCTTTCAATAGTACAAAAGGGCACAATCACGAGGGGGATAAAGTGATTGTTAATTCTCAAAAGGCTGTTACACCATTGATACCTTGGACAAAATAAACGATTATAGCATGTCCGAAAACCTGTTTAGCTAAATTTTACAGAAGAAAAAGCTTTGAAGTCTGAAAACACACTCAAACTAGTGAATTTTTCAGTGATATTGACGAATCCATTTGAGAAGAACTTGTGAGTGAAGACACCAACCTCATCATCTGTTTAGCTGACTTTAGATCAGGAGTGTGATTGTATCTCTGCTCATCTGCAGCCTGAATATCTGAGAGGTGGAGTTGAGAAGCTGGTGGTGCTGGGACTGGGCTGTGGCTCATCGGAGACACTGGGCTTAATGGCTCGAGTTGAGGAGGGTCAGAGAGCTTCCTGGCCTCGGCTGCTCTGAAGACTTCAGCCAGAACTTCTTCCTCAGCTTTGATCCTGACCTCCAGAGACACTGAGTTGTCCTCCACCCTACAAACATCACACGCAACATGCTGCTTCAGTTTTTTTCATTTGTTGAGAATAGCTGATAAATCCTGACATGTACTCTCTACATGACAGTTGTTTCAGTTCAGTGTTGCCTTACCCATTTGTGTGGCCTGCCTCTTTGCTGCTGCTGTCTTCACCCTCCTGGCACAGTGCCCTCAGCAGTTTAAGATGATCTGGGTTGCTTATTCCCATTCCAGTATTCAGAATCTCAGACTGGACATTATATTCGTTGATGACAGTTTTCATACCTGGCACCTGGCTCACCCGGACCTCAAAAACAGGAAATAACCAAATTTGCTGATGCCCACAGAGCCCAAACAGTCGAGGGACCACAGGCTTTAGGGGAGTTCTGGTTTGTTTCAACCTGGGCCCTATGTTTATAAATGTGGGAGTGTAAATGAATGGTACTTGAAACTTTTTAACTTAAAACATAAAAACGTGGAATTGGTCCAGTAGGTCTTCTCCACCTGCAGCCATAACACGTGACTACAATGTAATATTATGGGGCAACAGTGACAGTCTGCAAAGTGTTATTCTACCAATAAAAAGTTATTTCACATCTTTGCTAAAAGTCTGGCAACATTACGCATGCTTGCTCAATGAGAAGCTCACTCAACTGTTATTCCTTCTCTGCTTGTCTGCTCTCTCTCTCCCTGTTCACTCTTCAGTTTGTAGGAGCTCTCCCTACATATACCCTGCCTCAAATAAGTAGGGGCGACCATTAAAGTCAAATTCTTCATTGGCATTATCCTCATCAGTAAAAGATTCAGAGAGTGAGACTTGAATAGCAGAGACAGTCATAGACATAAACATGTCATAGACTGTCGCTGCTGCCATAGATTATATTCTAGCCACTGTGTTGCGGCTGCCAGTGGAGGCGATCTACTGGAAGCTTGAAGCTTTTGTGAGTACCATTCATTCACACAACCACATTTAAAAACATAGGACCAAGGTTTTTTAGCATGCCACATATTACAATGGAAAATGTTTAATACAACAGTCTGCAGGGGACACCCTGTAAAATATATTGGTAACTCACAAAAGTTTGACCATCAACAACTCAGTGACTGTATGAGGAGATGATTAAGGGAAAACACACCATGGGATCAACAAAGACAGTGTTTCCCAGACTGAGAACTGCTCTGGCGCGATGCTGCAGACCTCGGATCTTCTGACTGATGGCTCTGGTGACCTGCAGAACAAAATGTATGATATTATATGACTACACAAAAGCTGTCTTTACAGACAGGGCCCCAGAGTGCACATGCAACCCAGAATAGTGCGACTAAAAATGTTCCTTGGTCACACCAGTGCACCAAACTTTTAGCTGGTGTGTCTCTGTATGTGCTCAAGCTGTGGCGCTTCCTCATTATTAGCGCTGCTGCTGCTTCACGATCAGAGCAGAAGCAGCGGTTGGTTTGTACCATGTCAGAGACTCCTGCTGACCTGCGCTCACTTTAACAATCAACACCAACACTAATCACAGGTTATTAGGACCTGAAATGTACTCAAGTTTACTTTTTGATTGTTTGATTCGATCCAGAGTTTACAAAACACATACACACACCCAATCCTAGAGGAAGTGCTGGAATACTAATCCTAATACAATACAAAATCTCATGTAAATCATAACCATCCCATCCTGTTTACTGAGCTGGGAACATATATCCTATAGCCAAATGTTTAATATTTAATTAAGAGCAATTTGTGTTAACAGAGCTTTTTATTATTTTGGTTGTGTGTGGTTTA